AATTTTGATAGAGAAGTTATAGCACTAGGATGGAGGGAATGACATGAGCCATACATAAAAATAAGGTAATTCAACTGAAACATACACTGCACCAGTTGTAGTGCAGCATTTGGCAGGGATATATAATCAAGATCAAATTGGGAAAGGCCTTAGTTCCATAGTCTAGTTTGTGCTTTGTACTTACTGGTGGCATCATAGGGGCCCTTTTGGCAACGATTAGAGCCAGACATCTGCCAGGAGCCCACTGCAATGACAACAGGAAGTTGCTCAAGCAGTGTAAGTAGGAATGAAGAGAATGGGCAAGAGTAGAACTGACCAAACAGAAAATTAAAACCAAGAAGGGTCAAAAACCCACATTCACCCTCCACTGTCCAAGTTTACAGAGATCTTTTTGAGCCAGCCATTTGGTGCCCCCTGGTGGATAGATGAGACCTTCTCCGCTTTAGTAATGTCAAGCCACTTAAGATGTTTCACATTCTTCCAGCAAAAAGTTCATATTGAACACTTTATCCAACATTTGCATAAGTCTCCACACTGAGGCCAGGCACTATTAACTACATGAATCTAGTTAGGAGAAAAGATAGACTTCAAATGCCTAAATTATCACATAATAGGAGGTAGTACAAAAAATGATCAAATACTAAAATAAGCGGTGGTCAACTGACCAGAGAATTTAAAATACAGACTTGAGAGGTAGGTTAAGGCCTCCCAGATACAGAAAGGGTTCCCAGAGTCGTTTCTTTAACCTTAGACTTTTGGGGCCAGCCCATGGCTCACTCGGGAGAGTGCGGTGCTGATAACACCAAGGCCACAGGTTCGGATCCCATATACGGATGGCCGGTTTGCTCACTGGGTGAGCGTGGTGCTGACAACACCAAGTCAAGGGTTAAGATCCCCTTACCGGTCATCTTTTTAAAAACAAAACAAAACCTTAGACTTTTGAAGAAAAGAGCATCCAGGTCAGAGACAGTCATGAATAAAACAACCTGGGAAAAGAAGTGAATAGCAAGTAAGAGCACACAGAGGTTGGAATACTAGAAATTTTGCAGGTAACAGAGTCTACGAAGGCTTAAACTGGGGAACAATGTAGTGCTCAAGGATTTTAAGACCAATCTGACATAAGAATATAAAATGGAAAAATTATGTTATTAAGATGGTCAAGGAACTATACAAGAAGATAGGAAAACAATGAAAGCAAGTTAAGTCCTAATTAATGAACGACCCAAAGTTTAATGTATGTAGTCACTGCATGGCTGGAGGAAAGATAAGCTTTGCAATGGTCTTTGTTAATTGTTTAGTTTTTGCATTTCTTGAACCCACCTTGAGGTAGGGCTGCTGGTGTGGACAGTGTTACACACTATTTGGAAAACCCATCATCCTCAACTAAACACATAATGTTCCTGCTAGTTGTAATTTAACTCCTAATTCCTTCACAAGTAGGAACTTCCCCTCCACAACACCAGTACTTCCATGAAGTAGAATAGCCATATGCAACCTAAGAGAATAAGTAGGTAAATAATCTTTATACCCAAAAGGCCAAACAATTTTTATTTTCAAAAACAACTTTATTTATGACACATATCAAAAAAAACCTCCCACCCCCTGGAAATGAGCTAAAAAAAATAAACAAAATCCACCTCCCACCTCCCTGTTCCCACTTCCTCCCATTCCCTCCAAATAAAAGGGAAAAAAAAGGCAAAGGAAAAAAAACAAAACAAAAAACTGAAAAACAAAAAAACACCCAAAACCCCCCAAAACAAGGTAGTGCATTTCCCCAGGGGGAAGGGGAATTTACACTGGAGCCGCTGGGAGCGGAACGGAGATCTTCCGGCTACAGAAACCTGCAAAGAAAGACACTCAAAACAGAAAAAGAAACACAAAAGGAAACAAAATAGATCACCAGGCAATCTGGAGGGGCAGGGAGCCGGAAAAGAGGGGTGGGGTGGTGGTAGACCTGGCAGGACAGGAGCAGGCAGGAGGGGACTGTGAAAGGCAGGGAGAAGATGGAGGGAAGGTAACAAGCAGAACAGTTTGGTGTCCTTCCAGAGCCCTGGGTAAAAAAAAACCCTCTTAACCACCCACGCCCACCTACACTTGAGCAGCCCCCAAAGGGGTGAAGTGGGGCAGGGAAACATGGGGAGCAGCTTGCGCAGTTGAGACGTGTCCATGGCGAATCCCCAGAGTGAAAGAGCAGCCCCCTGCCCCACTCCCTGGGCCTTCCCCTACTCCCCAAAGCAGGTCCCTCCTCAGCAGTTAGTTATAGGATTCTCCCCCCTTCCACAGTGTATCTTTTTTTTTTTTAAAAATATTTTTTTTTTCCATCAAGGTCATCTTCTGTTTTTCTTTTTTTTTTTTTTTAATTCTTTTTTTTTTTTCCTTCTTTTCTCTTTTTTTCCTCTCTCTCCTCCTAATACACACTTTTTTTAGTAAGGGGAATACCATGATGTCGCTCTAGCCCGGCCCCTGGAAGAAAGAAGGAGAGTTAGGTGTTAACATGATCACTAGATAGTTCAGTACAAGCCCCTCCCCCGGGCCCTTGCCCCAGTTACTGTGAAGGGAAGGGGGGAAAAGAAGTTTTCAAATGTCCTAAAACTGACCCTAAAATCCCAGAAACAGCCACACACCTGGCAAGTGGGGGATGGGGTGGGGAGTTTAACAGAATACTTTGCCAAACAGTGGCCATAAAGTAGTGCATCTGAGATACAGAAGCAAGAAAAAGGACCCACTGTTGATCCATTTTTTAGTTCTCCACAGCTCTTAAACCCTAGGCCCTAACCAATAGATTCTCCCTAACTCCTGGGAGCAGACAGGTACATCTTATGAAAAGCCAAGCTTTATATGCCTAACTTGTCTATTTAAATGTAAAGAGATAGAGGGAAAGCAAAATAATACATGGGCACAATAAGCCCACTGAGAAAGTTAACCTTGAAAAAGACTGGCTCGGGCCGGCCCGTGGCTCACTTGGTAGAGTGTGGTGCTGATAACACCAAGGCCCCGGGTTCGGATCCCACATAGGGATGGCCGGTTCGCTCACTGGCTGAGCGTGGTGCTGACAACACCAAGTCAAGGGTTAAGATCCCCTTACCAGTCATCTTTTTAAAAAAAAAAAAAAAGAAAGAAAAAGACTGGCTCAAATAAAGAGTAAATAAATATCTCAAAATCCTCCCACATGGCTATAGGATCAACTAGCCTCTGGTACACTTCCAAGGGAGGTTCAAACTTCAACCCCTCCCTAACTCTGGGAAAAGTAGAGAATGTCAAAGCAGTGCTTTCACTGCCCTGAAGCCCAGTTCTTCCTGGCTTTTTCTGTAAACACCTACACTGCCACCAACTCCCAAGAAAAAAAGGCTGGAGGAGGAAGCATCTCTCAGAACAGAAATAGAGATCCAGCCCTTATCACCAATTCCTGCTCCAGAAATGATGAGACTGGCCTCCTGGCCTGGCCTGCAACTACCTTCCTCACCCTGCACAGGCAGGAGACCAAGTCCCTGGAGACCAAGGGGAAGGGAAGGGAGGGAGGTTCCTCAGGAGAGAAGGAAGCATACAGGGCTCATGGGAGGCTGGGGAGAGGAGCAGCCCATCTATCCTGACCTGTAGACGCGACCCCGGGGCCTGCTGTTAAAACCACTGTAGAATCGAGAACGCGAACTGTTGTAGTTGGTGGTCCTGGCACGGTAGCGGGCTCGTGGGAAACCCCGGTCTGTTGTGCTGATGCCTGGTCTGTTGGTTCGTTTTGGGATCACCTGAGTAAGGGATGTACAGCTCAAAGCCTTAGAACCAACCTGGAGAATTTACACAGAACCAGAACAGCAACGGGCACAGGGCTTACCTTGATTTGTCTTCCTCTAAATAGGGACTCATCTAAGGCCAGGGAAGTCCTCACTGACTCTTTGTCTGAGAACTCTATATATGCAAATCTGAAAAGAATAATTGTCACTTTATTTATCTGAGGTTGCAAATAGCTCGTAAGTCAAACCCAACTCGCAGGCATGCTTTGTTTGGGTGCAAGATGTTCACATTTTAAATTATTTGTCAAAAAAGTTTAAATGAAAGATTTTAATCATAATTCCCAGCTACTCATGTGGCCATAACCATCCGGGGCCAACTAGAAGCTGCCACTTCCCTTCTAGTTCATGATCCCCCCAACACCTAGCCTTCATTTTTGTTATGTCTGACCCCTGAAAACACTTACATGAAATCCTTGATATGTAATACCAACATTAATGCCATTATCTTGGAAGATAAAGGCCACTTGTTCTAACAGTGAGTGACTTACTATTCCATATAAAACATAACTTACCTATTTTAAAGCTGTGATCAAAATGATCTCAACTTACTATTCTACTTACCCTTTGGGATGGCCACTGAATTTGTCACAGAGTATAGTAACACGATTGACTGAACCACAGCCATGAAAGTGAGCTTCCAGCTCTTCTGCCGTTGCACCATAGTCCACCTGAAGAAAGGGGGGGGACATTTCACAGGTACTGGGTAATCTCCTGACTCAACAAGTACCCTGCCTAGCCTTTAGTCTGGGTCATCTACATACACTAAGACACATCAAATCTGGTTCTCTACGGAACTAATCCTTTTCTTTCCAACCCCAGAGCCTTTGCTGACCTTTAGCCTTCTCCCAACCCTTCCTCCCCACCCAAAACCACTGCTATTGTGCAGATGTTCCTTTTAAGACTATTAAATAACTCCCGCAAGTAGGAACTTCCCAACCCTAATCACAGCCCTACTACATACATTGCCAACATAGATGGATCGGGCATCAGCCTCCATCTTCTCCTCAATGGACATGATCACTGGGCCAGCTGTAAGGAAAAAAGATTTAAAAACAAAAACACTTGTTTTCTACTTGACCAATATATGCACTTCTGCCACCAGCACTATACTATAAACTCAGTGAAGACAAAGATTTTAGTCTGTTCTGTTCCCTGTTGTACCCATTACCCAAGCACATAGCAGATGGTCATAAATATTTGATAAATCAAGGAATATATCAATATATCTTTAAAAAATCATAAACAACATACAGGAATCCCTCCGCCTCGAAACAAGTCCCCACTGAATAGCTTTGCTTGAAGCACCTTGAGTGAGCAAAATTAAGTGGGGGAGACTCGCCATTGCTAGATTACAGGGAAAGCCCTTTGCAGCCGAGCAATTTCTCTTAGGAATCCTAACTAAAAGGTCTTCAATTTAAGGAAAAACTATTAGACTTGCAGGTCAAATGCCAGCTGGTAAACTTCACAGAGTAGAGATACTAAGAACAAAGAGCAACTCATTTATAACAGAGACAAAGGGAGGCACAAGACTACCACTATCAAAAACCATAGGTTCCCTCTCACCAAAGTCAAGAGAAACGCACAATGGACTATGCCCGCGGCATCTGCCCAATAACTGCTAAAACAAGCAGCTCCAGGGTCCCAAGCATCTAATCCCACATTCCCCGTGCTCCCCACAACCCTCACCACACAAGGACCGGGTTCCGCGTGCAACCGCCGTTACTCACCATTGCCTGGAGGTGGACTCATATTCATCTGCTTCTCTACTTCGTTCTGTAACTCCTTTAGCTTCTCAGCTTCTTCCTCCATCTCCCTGACTCGAGCTTTGATCGCCTCCAGCTCCTGCAATGAGTGGGGAGGGTACGGAGGAGAGCTTAAGAGGAACCAACGCAGGGCAGTACCCTGCTCGAGGTCGGCGCGCGGCCCCAGCCATGCTCGACCATTTCCTTCGCCCCACGCGAGGGTCGTGATGAAAAGAAAAGCGAGCTACCTTCTCTACAACAGCACTAGGTACCCATGACGCCGGAATCAACCCGCCCGGGCCCCCTGTGGCGATGGCAGGCCCGTCCCCGGCCCGACCCGGACCGGTCCCAGACACGTTATTCCCTGCCCAACCCCACCCCCCGCCTGCCTCCCGTTCGCCCGAGCTCTGGGCTTCCCGTGACCCGGCCGGCCACCGGCCTGCTCACTCGCCCTCCTTCCCTCACCGGGTCTTCAATGGCGCCGTCCCCCGGGTCACCCTCGACTAGTCCCGGCTCCTCCTCCTCCTCCTGGCTGCCGGGGGCTCCCGAGCCAGGCCCAGGGCCCGGAGCTCCCGGGGGGGCGCGGGGCCGGGGCGGCTCCTCTTCGGGCTCGGGCTCCGGCTCGGGCTCCAGCAACAGCTCCCCAGGCTCCAGTTCCTCAGACTCCAAGCCGTTCCCGTAGTCCCCTGCGCCCCCCGGGGCCCCCTCCCCGGCCTCCCCCCCGGCCCCGGGCACAAGATGGCGCCGCCGCCCCGGCCCGGAGCCCCGACCGCCCGCAGCCCCCGCTGCCGCTGCCGCCGCCGCCGCCGCCGCCATCGCCGCTCAGACGGGTCACAAGCCCAGCCATCCTCAAGGTGCTGGCAGGTGACACAAGTGGACAAGGCTGTAGAGGGGGAGGGCAGGACTTGCGCAGCCTGCGAGGAGCATGGCCTCATGGGAATGCAGGCT